CGCATATATAAATAATAGAAAGAAATGGAAATTTATTCGTCGCTAACAACAAAAAAAAGGCGAAAATCTTTTAGAAATATTTTATAAATTATTTTCACCTTTTCCTAATTTTTCAAATATATTTATTTGTTTTTTTTTTTTCACATTTACAAATTTTTGAAAAATATTCAAAAAATCATTTTTAGGAATTTTCATTGCCAAATTTAAACTTTGACCTTTTTTTTTCGACTTTTATTTTTTACATTTTAATTTTTTGAATAATTCATTATTTAGCTTTGGTAATGAATGAAAAATTTAAATTGATGATAGAATGAATTTTCTTTTTAATATTCATTCTAAAGAATACGATGGTGGAAGGTAATTACGAAAAGTTATTCAAATTCATAACGAAATGTATTACAAAAAATTTATCATCATTATCTCATTATATTTAAAGTAAAGTATATCTATTCAATTTTCTACAATCATTCCAATTTTATTCTCATTTTTTTTTTACCTCTTTTATTCTTGCAAAAGTTGGTAATATTTTATTACCTGCCTATTAATTAGTATTATTTTCGAAGGTATTAAATTTAGTTTCAATATGCTAATAGAAATATGAAAAATATTAATTTCAATATGCTAATAGAAATATGAAAAATAAACATTATCCCATTTATTTTACATTCTCATTCCAATTTTAAGCTTAAAAATAGAATTTTTCCATTTTTATTGAAAATGAAGTCACGCAACTTCTACCAGAAATATTGAGAAATAAATTTGATTGATGCCGAAAGCGATTTATTTTTTATCGAAATTCACTATATACGTTCGTAACATACATATCGGTCATTTTTTAAATGAAAATTTTCTACGAATTGAGCATTTGCTCATTCAAATATCTATAATTTAAGGTCAAATATCATGAAATCCTAATCAAGAACACAGTAGTTCTACGTATTCGAAAATTTGATACAGATATATTAAAAGTCCCGATGTATCAGAATATGAATTGAACAACAGATAAAGCTTATTAATTGAGCAAAACTTTTTGAAGCATTTTTTTTTGAAGTATTTTTTTAGACTGTTTTTAAGAGAATTGTCAGAAAGATAAGAACGAAAAGTGGCAACTGTTTGTAAGAATTAGCTAAGATGGATAAGAAGGAACAGTTGTGACTCACAACAACTGTCTCTCAAAGTTAATAACTCGCAAAAGATGTCACTGATGCATTGAATTAAATTTTTGAATAAAATTTAAAGAAGTAAAGCTTACTATTGTCGAATTTAATCAAAATATCCAGCAAGAAAAATTGTGTAAATGTTGATAATTTAGTGATTCATAGCCAAATCGATAGTTTTGCAAGAAAGCAACGAAAAAGTTGTGAATGATTAACTCAGTATGATTATGAATTAGTTATCATATTTGCAGCAGATAAGATATTTAGTTGAATATCAGCAAATTAAAATTATAAGTGGTAAATAGCGGGATTTAATCGATGTGCTTATCATTTAGATGTCTATCATTAAAATCCTACCATTGCTTAGATAATATCCGTATCATTACTTAGATAATAATAAAGAAGCGAACTAATTGTTAACTAAAATTGTTAATTGGCATTTTAAAAAAATAAACGACGTCAAAATTTTCATAAAAACAAACGACGTCAAAATTTTAACAAAAAAATTTAATTTCATCAATATTTAATATAAACATGCAGAAAATCGTTTCTTACAGACTCCAATCTTTTCAAGAATTAATTACCAAAGTTTTCCGTTCTTTTCATTTAAATTCAACCTTGCCTAATCTTTTCATATTTATCGTTTATGACTAAAGAGATAATTTAAATTCACGATAGAGCCATTCCTTTATTCTTTCTTCTATTAACTATTGTAACTTTGATAAAATAAACATGAAAAAACAATAAATATAAATTATCAAGTTACTGTGATTGGATAAATAATAAAAAAATGGGCAAAAAACAAAGAAGATTTCTGACACAGAGATAATTTATTTTTTTTTAATAATTTAAAATTTAACATTATCATATCAATTTAAATGACATAATGTAAAAGTTTTAATTGGATTTTTGACAAATTGAGATTGATAATTTAAGTTATCATTGAATGAATTAAACACAATTTACTTATTTCGAACACTTTTCTTTGTTGTACAACAAATACGTCGTTTTACTAATTAATGGTGACAATCTTTTTAATCAGTAGTACTAATAAAACAGTTTTGATGATATCCCCACTTATCAATCATTAGCTAACTAAAAATTATTCCAATAAATAATTATACGTATGACTTATAATGGAATCGTTTGTTTGAACTTATTCTAAACAGTGCTTGTAATTGCATGATGATGGATGAGGCAAATTTATGCTAGTCAAATTTGTCAACAGAAAGATGACATGATGAAGTCAATGAATAAATATCAAATTATCATATAAGCACTACAACATGTCAATATAGTAAAGTGAACACGAAACTTTTGCCTCCTGGTTACTGGCTCGTTAAGCTTTCATTGTTGTCATTGGTACTAGTAAAAGTTAGAAGGGAACGAAGAAATGATCCTAAGAGATAGGAAAAAGTTTTGAAATCTTCGAGAGAAATGGATTATGTAAGAAGATGTTGTAGAGAAGGCACAAACGAGAATCATTAAATCATTCTTCTCATTTCATTCTTCTCCTCAATTTCCTTCATCTTTTTCCAATCGTCATTTTGCGACCATAGATAAGCTAAATTGTTAGAAATTTACTCTTCGTTTTGATTTGTAATGCCATCAGTTGACAGCTAACCCATCAATAATTGCTACAACAATTAGGCAAGCGAATAATAGAGCTGATTGAATGATTGAGAGTGATAATAAATGATTAATGATAACAATTATGATAACTATCGTTAGTTTTCATTGTCTTATCATAATCAAAGGAATAATAATGTTATTAAGAAGTAGTTTTAAAATTTCCTTATGGAATTCATGGTAATTATTAGTGTAAGATAATATAAATGATAATCATATTGATAAATATGCCAGCTGTAAATCTTATGTTAGACATATGTGAAAAATGATTGAATAAACTTTTGAATATTATCTCTTTGATTCTTTTCCTTCCAGAATTTCTTCCTCTCTTTCAAATTATTATTTGTCATTTTCTTAAACTAAAATTTTCTTCATTGTTGTTAACAAATGTCTTTAATTTCATCTTTCCTGCAAATGTAACCAATTTTTCTAATAAAATAATAATGCATTAATTGATATAATTATCGATTAGAATGAAATATTTGTTATCGATTTGTTAAAATTATTAAAATTTATGGAAAAAGAGGAATAAAAATAAAAAATGCTGATGGAAGAAATTATTGATAGAAAAATATATGTGAACAGTTAAATAATGATTGTATCATATCGGATATTATATGTTAAATGATAAGCATCCATCATTCCTATCATTTTTTTTTTCATTAGCAAATAAGTTCAATTAATTGAAGCTGTCATTAATTGAAATTTAAAATTTAGCTGCTGTTATTTTCAAGCTAAAAAAAAATTTTTACAATATTGCAATTTTGCAATCTTGCTGAGTATTTCTAATTTATTTCATTTTTTTCTTGCTGTTCCTCTCTCTTCCCTTTCTCTCTCTCCCATTTCTCTCTTTCTCTCTCTCTCTCACTCTGATAAGATATCAGAAGAAAAAAACAATAAGAATTAATTGTTATAACGAAATAATGGTTGATTTTTTGGACAAGGAAAAGCATATTTTTTGCATTTCTTAATGATAGTGCCAGCCAGCTATATCTGTATCATAAATCATTTGCAAAATAGAGAAAAACGAAATGAAATTTTCATATTAAAAATTAAATCATTTCATATTAAAAAATCAATTAAATCAATTAAATCAGATATGCAATCATTTATTGGTTGAATAAAAGGATGAAAAAATAATTCCGAAAGTCGAATGATAGTTATTTCATCAATTTATAAAACTGATAAGAGTGCAATTTGAAAATTCATAAAAGTAGCATTTCTCATTTTAACTTTCCCACAGAATACGACAAGTACCACAAATTTCAGTTTTGGAAAAACAAATTAAAAAAAGAGAAAAGAAATTTTAACAATACCTTACTTATTTAAAAATTATCAATTTTACATTCTCAATTTGATTATTAAAAAAATTTTTGATAAATGATAAAGTTTGATAAAATAATTTGAAGAGAATTATGATTAAATTCAAGCTTATAATCTCTGAAAATGAATGGGGGAAATGAGATTTAAGCGAAAAAGCGAAATATATGGAATAGTTTATTTCAACTTGAATTAACTAATAACCACATGATATCTGTCGATGATATCGTTGATGCATAACTAATCAGTATGATTTAAAGAAAGTGGACGAAGAAAAAAAAAGGTGTTAGATAACGATAAAAGTAGTATAAGCTATTTCAATGTAAAAAACTTATTGAAGCATAAGACAATAGGAAATATTTTTATTCACTTTTCTGCCAGCCCTATTTTGCAGCCAATTTTATTATTTCAAAAATAATAATTTGGACTAACTTTTACTCCATTCATTTGTGATCGATTCATTTTCAACAACCAACCAATAATTACAATAAAAAAAAAAAAAAAAGGAACAAACAGGTAAATTTGTATGGAAGAAGAAATTTGTGAAAGTAAATACAAATAACCAACCAATAAAGAAGGACGAAAGAAATAAACAGGTAAATTTGTATAGAAGAAAAAATCTGTAGAAGTAAATACAAATAATATATATAAATAGTATAAATAAAGTAAATATAAACAACCACAACCAATCAGCACTTACAAACAACCATTCAACACTTATAATAAAAAATTGTGTACAAGAAAGAAATTTATAAAAGTAAATAAAAACAAACAACCAATACTTATAATAAAAAAGAGAAAGACAAAAGAAATTAACAGGTAAATTTATATAGAAGAAGAAATTTGTAAAAGTGTAAAGCTTAAATGCATTTTGTTGAATAAGCTTGTTATGTTATGCAACAAATTGAAATGCTTGAAAGTATTTTTCATCTGTTCCGCCTTTTTTTTCAACAATGATGAAAAAAAAAGATGTTATAAAATGAGGAGAAAGGAAAAGAAAAATACGATTATCTTCCTTGAAAAAAAGTGAATAAATAAAATGAATGAAAAATTTTACTCTTTTATTTAATACTAAAAATATTTCACATAATTAAATTAAGGATAATAAAAAAATAAAAATTTTTGAACTAATTATATTTTAATTTTAATAATTTCTTCTTTTTTGAACATTACGAAAAAAATTAATTGCATTCGATTTAATTTTTTTACTAATTTTCTTCGTTCATTAATTATTATCGGAGAAATTTTCGCACATTCTTATTTCATTCCATTTAATGGCGCTATTTTCTCAAATTATATTTATGAGATGATGATGATGATGATAATGATGATGATGATGATAATGATGATGATGATGATGATAATGATGATGATGATGATGATGATAATGATGATGATGATGATGATGATGATGATGATGATGATGATGATGATGATGATGATGATAATGATGATGATGCTATTAATTGTCACCAACTAAGCAAATTCATTATACTCTTATCAATCAATTTCTAATCTTTCATATCATTCTCATAAAGCTATTATCATATCATTACAACGACACGCATTTCATAGTTTTTTATATTTAAATGATAGTTTATCAAAATTTGATATAAATTTGCTAAATAAATATTATTATTTTGGAATCAAAAAAATTTGTCGAATTTATTAAAATTTTGCTATTATTACATCAATTTTGATACGAAGCAAAAAAAATTTCTTCAACAATTTTCTCGTCTAAAATTTGGGAAAATAAGAAAACTTAAACTTTTTTATGTCACACACACATTTTTTTTTGCAATCCATAAAAAAGTTGAAAAATAATTTTTAGGAAAAAGTTTTAAAAGCATATAAGGAAGAAAGAAATCTTTGGGAAATAATAACCTGAATTCATTTTATTACTTTATCCTCTCTGAGTAATTCTCTTTTTTTGTGAGATTTAATGATCGAATTTCGATTCTGTCACTATTCACTAACATATTGCTTATTTTGGAAATTTGAAATTTCAAAAAAATTTCAACAACAGTATAATTTATGAATTATTGTATGAATAACTAAATAATATACCGTAATTTTGAGGAGGATTTTTACAGCATTTATTTCTGATAGTATTGCCCTGAGATATCTCAGTGCATCATATTTTTTGGGATATTTTTTCTTCATGTGAAGCATGTTAAATCTTTTCTTAAGTAATTTTTAAGAGTTTATAGAATTACAGCTTTACTTTTTGAAAAATCTAAGTTTTTATTTACATTGCAAATTGATTCTCTCTAGATCGAAAATAACGGCTCTTAAATTATTTTATCTAGAAATTGACATGATAGGATATTAGCATACTTATCATGATATCTTTAACCTGTTTAAAAGCTTTTTTCAACATTAGAGTAAATCAAAATTTTCTATTTTCAACGAATGAATTAAATAATGGAGAAAGAAGTGGCGAAGAATTAATATGCTGAATAATATCATTAACATAAAATTAAAATATTAAAGCATTTTACTTTTTCAAAAGAACTAAAATCGATAAGTTCACAATTTGACGATATTCAACCAATGTTAATATCATGAAATCATCAAACAAGTAAAATATTTACCACTGCTTTTAGTATCTGTGACATTAAAAACTAATTGTTCATTTGCCATTAACAAAGTTTAAAATGCTAATGTTTCATGACGTAAATACGTCAAGAGGATATGGATATTCTTGCATGCATTCCATTGTATCATTTATAATTATTTATTTGTTCGTAATTAATTCAAGAAAAATATAATGATCATCATCATCATCCATAATTTATGAAACATAGGTAATTTAGCGAATTTCAAGTATTATAGAACAAAGTGTTAATTAAAGCACTTTTTACTCAGTTAAGGTTATGGCTGGAAATTTTTACTACTCGACTAAACTTCCAAATTTGAATTTTCACATTTTATATATATGGTTTCTTGTTATTTATATATATATATATATAGACTCCAAATTTCTGACAAAAAAACTAACTATAAATTAGCAACGAAATCGCTGAAAACTTTCACAGATATGTTTATTAATTAGAAATTTCACTTTGCGTTATAAAATCTTAAAGAAGCAAGAAACTTGCAAATATTCCACTAATGAAAGAAGATAAGGAAAAAAGAAAAGTCATTTCGGATGGAGTGATAATTTTAAAGATTTCAGGTTGCCTAGCTGCATAATCTTTTGATTTGAGATTATGTGGATAAAATAAAATGTTTTTCTTTTATGAAATTCTAATAAGAGAAACCTTCTATCATCATTCCGGAAGACAAATTAGAAGGATTTAAATTAGAGAAATTAGCCGGAATAGTTGGTTTAAGTTTTCCGGAGAATAAAAATAAAATGTTATTTTTCGCCACTCATTGTTTTTAGTGTTCAAAAAATCGGCGCTTGTTTTAGTCAGTTTTTAATAGAAATTATCATATTGCGATTAATTAGCTTACAAAAATTGATACAAAATTAACAAAAGTTGCGAGCTCTATTCAAGTAAAATAGAGATTTTAAAAGATTTCAAAAAAAAATGAAAACCTGATTGTATAAGCAATTCGAAAGAACATCTGATCTTAAAATTTACAGTTTTCCGAATGTTTGCACTCATTTTCACTTTCTTTTTGACGATTGCAAAAAATTAAACTGAAAATAATTGATTTGAATGATAATTGAGTAATTAATTTTAATGAATAAATGATGATTTTACGATTACTGATTTTACGATTGCAAAAATTGAACTCAAAATAATTGCAAAATATTAAATGTCGGAGGAGCTAATTGGATTTTAAAAAAGAAGAAAATATAAAATGAAACATTGCCAACTTCTTGTATGCTTGTTTCAATGTAAATGATTCTATTTTAATTGCAATATAATATGAGAATTAATTTTATTATATTAGGAAGTAACCGTGGAAATTTAGTCTTCCCGTTTCAAGTCTACTCTAAGAATGGACTAGAACTTGTCCTTAGACCATTCTTTACAAAGACTGTTTAAACTAACGTATGGATGATATTTCTCCAGTTTCTCATAACGGTTTGAAATTTGAGATAAAAAATCACCGAAATATTATCCTATTCTAAGATTAGACAATAAATCATGCGTTTTTCATCTTCAAGCTAAAAATTTCATCCTTGCTGCTTAGTTTATTAATCCTTCATCGAGTAATGCAATCAGCTAAAAATTCCAACTCCATCTCTTTTCATTGCAAACATTTCATACACCATTATGCCATATCTACCATAATTTTAACTATATTATTATACAATATATTATCACTATGCATATATAATACATATTCAACTTACCATAACATCATATGTTAGGATTGCATGGTGGCAGAATACACTATCCACAGTATGCCGCAATATCTTACTGTATTACAGTATAAAATACACGTTTGTTTACAATCATAAAACATACGCACCATGTTATTCCGCATGTGAATATTCTATGGCACATGATATATAGTCCACGTTATACTATAATATATTTTAATCTCTCTCTCTCTCTCTATATATATATATGTATGCTTATGGCTTTGTAATGCGTTTTATAATGTGCAGTAAAACTTCTTGGCAGTATTGGAAAATTAAAATATTTTATAGTAGAAATATATTGGAATAATCAAAGTATTTTTACACTGTAGAAATTTATGTTACAAATGATTGCTGATTTAATGATAAGTGTCATCTGTTTGATGATCGTGAAAGGATTTCTTATTTATTGATGAGTGTAATTTGTTCCAAAAATTCAATATACATCGAGTACTATTGAGAATATGTAATATATATTGCAATCAGCACTATCGAATATACATTACCTTTGTTCAATATCACGATCAGTGCTGCCATTTATGCCAACCAAGCAATCAATTCTATCAATTCAATAATCAATTCGATCAATTCGAATCAATTCAATCAATTCGAAAATCATTTCAATCAATTCGTAATCAATTCGATTTTTTGATAATTGTCTTATAACGTACAAAAAGTTTTTTGTAAGAATAATTAATCACTTTTTATCACAACAGTTTTTCTGTGCCCACAACATGCAAAAAGTCCCCATGACAAGTAGTTTAATATTTCTCCTATACCGTAGATTTAGAACAATAATATACAATGCAGTATGATATGGTCGAACTTAGATCGCTCTCTAATTTGAAATCATTCTTTTCAAAGATAATTTACAATATTGTGTAATTCAGTAGGATAAAAGTATCGATGTTTCTAAAGACTTACCTTATAATATAATCAAACTTTATTTCAAAAATTCTACTTCCAATTTATTTGCGAAATTTATTTTTGAATAAATCTCAAATATTTTAAGTAGAAATACGCGGAAAAAAAATGTTTTAAAAAGTTAAAGCGAAAAAATAAAGGCATGAAAATTTTTCTTTAAAAGATAATAAATCATAAAATATCTTTATATTCTTTACAACGTCGAATTTTAACTTAATTTCCCAACTCTCAAACTATTTTGATTCTATAACTTTGATTTTAGTCTAATTTTGAAGTAATAAACTAAATTTCCATTTGATATTAATTCCACTGCAATTTCGAATTAAATCCATATTCATTAGTTTATGCTTAAGAGTTAGTTATCTTTTTGAAACTGAGACATTTCATTTCTAATCTTCTCCTTTGCTGCTATTTCAAAATTCACTTCAAATTTTTGCAAATGAACAATAATCACTTTTTATACAATATTACCGGAAAAAATAAATAAATAATTAATGTACTCGTCATCAGTTTTATTTCTATTGCCGGAAAAAGTGGAGAGGCGATCCATCATTGCTTCCCGAAGTGCTTGAAGTTCATTGTGAATTGATCACAATGATTTGTTGGTTTACATTGGTTTGAATTTTCATCCTATTCTTCATTTGTTTCATCGATCACTCATTCATGTCATGTTAACATTTTCGCACAGAAATAGGTTAATTAATACATTCTTCAAAACTGTTTTAAAACTACTAATTCCGTCATTCTACGATTCGTTTTAAATTAACAATTTATCAAATTAACAATTCATTTTAAATTAACAATTAATCAATTAGCAATTCATTTTAAATTAACAATTTATCAATTTTCCTTTGATAACATATTAAGCAAAAAAGATGGCGTCGATTTTTTTTTTGTTGTTAGCAGAATCGCTTGATTTATTTCGAAATTTGAAATTCATTCAGTAATTGGCAGGTGAGAGATATTTAGAATACATACTTAGGAAAGTAGTTGCATATACTCGAAGTTGCCAACTTAAAAGAAGAGAAAGTACAAAAACGGTTGTATACGGTAGTAATGGAACAGGTACTATTCATAATATGTTTCAAAGTGCAGTATAACAAAAAAGACGCTATAGCAATTTCATCCTCTAATATATCGATATACTAGAATTGTTGCGGAACGAAGACATATGATATGATTATTTTAATTGTTGTAATGTAAACAGTAGCGAATATTTGAAATTCGTTTTATTTGGTAGGGTTAGCTTAATAGAGTTTAAATTACAATTAAAATAGATCAGTTAAAAAGGGTGACTCATTATATGATGTGAAAATATTTTCAGAAAGATTATTTTAATATGCGGAAATATTTGATGACACAAATAATATCATCGTATCGTATCTTTCAAGTGGTTTGAGTTTCAGTTACAGTCATACTCTTTGCTGTTTCTTTTTGTTCTTGTTTTTTCATCAATTTTTGGATAAGTTTTTTGTCCATTTGTTGAAGAAACTGGTCACATGCCTTCTTTGCAACAGGAAACTGGAATTTTTGAAATTTAATAAAATTTTGTTTTTTAAAGAGATAAAAAATTCGCAAGTACATGATTAATTGTTTTTGCTATCGTTTACCTACGGTCTACTTTTACCTTACTCTTATTTCCATTTTCATTAAGTTATTTCCGGAATCCACGAATTTCTACAATCTAACAACTTTATGTATCGCTTCGGGAATTCATTAATCTTCTATTTTGTTTCTCTTTCTTTTTAACAAATTCATTAACAAACCGGCACAAGCATTGGATAAATATTACGAATTTCTTCACGTATATACCAACATGTAAGAATAGTCACCAAAATGATAACCGCTGAAGGGATGAGATAGCCGAATATGATAAGATCAAATGCTATCCTTCTAAAAATAAACCAAAAATTTTAAATAAAAATTATGATTTAAATTTCAAACTGTTATAAAATTGATAACTTTGCTTTATAGATTTTGAAACATGAAAACTAATTTGAATAATTAAATTTGCGACATAAAATTTGGCATTTAAAAGAATTTAAATTGAAGTAAATCTTTTTATTGAACAAAGTATTATTTAAATCAAATGGTAAGAAATTTTTGTCGCAATAAAAATCCTTATTTTCTTTTCTTCTTCTTCAAAATTCAGTTGAAATAATTCACATTGTATTCGCTGTCACGATCATCTGACTCGGAACAAAATTTTTCTTTCTTTCTGTCTTTGTATTAAAAACATATCGGCTGTCATAAATTTTCGATATATTTCTCTCTTGAATTTGTTATCATTTTATCACTTATATTGAAACCTGTGAAAATAACAACAGGAAATGGAAAATTCACTTCAACGTGCTAGAAATACTATGGGCAAATTCGTTTGCCATCGCTATTATTAACGGTGAAAGTCGTAACGCATCAACGATATTATCCAATGGTTTGTTAACACCAGGCATCACTTCGATCACCTAAACTAACCAAAAATTCATTTCGATTAAATCTGTAAATTCCGACTAATTTCTGCTTCAAAAAAAAATTCATCCTTTTATATTTAAAAAAAGAAGAAATGCAAAAAATAAGGGTTTGACGAAAATAATTAACCTCTTTAAATGTGAATAAAGCTCCCGCATATTTTGAAAATGCAATGGCAATATCCAAACTTGTGCCATCACTTCCACTAATAGTCAAAATTGTTATGAGAAATAGTACAATGCCTGAATTAGGCTAATTTTTGAAAAAATCTTTGAATAATTGTTGGGAACAAAAAAAGAAGGCAAAAAAATAAGATTATATCATTAAGTTTTAAATCATTAATTAAGTTTGTTTAAATTAGTACCAAATACGCATCCTGAAATCATTTATTTTATAAAGGCCGTAAATAAGTACAACCGTACGAAAGGTATACTTGAGAAAAAATAGCATTTCATTGAAATTTGTCGTTTATTTTAAATTAATGCTTCCATCAATAATTTATTTGGAATTAAAAACGATTATCATTCATAAATAATATGGGTTGTATTGAATTATTAGACCTAAATGATTAAATAAAACTTTTAATAAAGATTCTAATTAATTGGGGTGATTCATTAATTTTACTACAACTCTTAATATTTTCTCTGAAAGAATATATTAAAAATTTGCCTAATTATACTTAACAGATTTGATCAGTGCTACAATCGCTTCATTTCTATGTTCTATTAAATATTGTTTTTAACCAAACTTTTGATTTTAATATTGTTCAATAAAAATGATAAGCATTGAAAGGGCTCTTAATTGATGCTTATAAGTTATCGTGAGGTTTTTCTTGACTTTAATCCTTTTAATTTTACAATGGAAATAGAGGATATTTGAAATTTTTGGATTAGTGGTGAAGTTGAATCGAATTTTGGTTTATTATCTAATTATCAAACTATCGCAATTTTTTTTGACATTTCAGGCAACAGCTTTTAAGGCTTTTTTAAAGAGGTGTCTTCATAAAAAAACATTTCACCTTTTTTCCTAATTCTTTTCAGTGCTTAAATCTGGCTACACAAAAATTTTATAATAATATTGATTGCAATTTTAAATTCGGATAAAGATAAAGTAAAATTAAATTTTGAGATTTGAATTCTGTTTCTTTCATATTCTACAAATAATAATTTTGCACAATATTTCCTTCAATTTCGCTATTTAGAAGTTTTCCATGGAAGACTTCGAAGAAGGAATTCCAAAATGGTACTTCAATTTAGTTCTTTTAGAATAAAATTTTAATTGTATTGAGTCGAGTGATTAGCAATTGTAATAATAAATAATAAAATATTTTGCATAAGAACAATAGTACTAGAAAGTGAGAAAAAGAAAAGACAGCTAAGTCTTATAAGGAATTATTATGCAAATAACTGAGAAAAGATCATGAAAATAACTGAGAAAAGTGAGAGAATGAAAAACATTTGGAGACGATCAGAGCATACAAATGAATAGTGTAGGAAGAATGGAAAGAAAAGGATGTAATATATGTGAAGAGACGAGAGGCATTACTGAGAATTTTAAAAGAGTATTAGTTTGAAGATCGAGAAAAGAAATGAATATTATAGAGCCTTTGTTATAGTAGTGATTAAGATCATTGATAATTAGATTGTTAAACAATGTGGAAACATAGAGTGAAGTCTGTTCTCGAAAACATATAATAATGCGTACTCTCAATTTGCGGTAATCTAATAGGTATTGTTAATTGACGGAGCAGAATGAATAGTGTCGGTTTCACTTCTTTCTACTAATGTTCCACAAACTTTCGGTTTAGGACTAAATGGCCAAACTTTTCTTAATCAGCCTTAGAGCTTTATATTTCTACACCTACTTGTGACCTTTTTATTTATTCATAACATATTTACTTGTCATTATCTTACTTCAACATTATTTACTTATCAGATTTGTATAATAGAATTTATATCATTATCAATTGTCCAGTTATCTAGTTTGTATGTTTAATTATCTTTTGTTTTATTAACTGTTTTTTGTTTACACTCCCAGCAAATTGTCTGTAAAAGAAATATTCATTAAATGTTCTTTGGGAAGTTTCTTTCTTGAACAAATTAACTTATTTTGCTAATACGTTCTTTTTTTATTGTTAAATTCTATAATATTGACATACTATAATTTTTTTCAGTCATTCCAGGATGAGGGCCAGACGAGAATCATGGTTAGCTGATCAAGTTGGTATACGTGGTATAGAATTGTATATTCCGAAACTGTATATAAATCAGAAGGATCTTGAAACGGTAGCTTAATTTTTTACTAATATTCATATTTATTTAATTCATGTTAAGAGTATGTGTTCGCGGTTGATCTTTATTCTTTTATCAACTGATTTCAGGAATTATTTTCATCAAATGAAAGGAAGGTGCTGATAAGATCAAATGATCTTTTGTTTTCCCGATTACTTTTTTCGTTGTCTGATTTTTCTCACTTTCTCTTCCTATTTCGCTTTCTTTGTCCATACATCCCATAATATTCCGTTTTCTTTTCCTGCCTCCGTGTTACTCCTCTCATTATTTGCTATTTTATGCTTATTTCGATAATGTTTCAAAAGATCCTTGGTTGTTACACTTTACATAGCAAGGGATTTCATTTTTTCAAGTTTATTTCAGTTTGACAATGTTAAGAAGGGCAAATATACCGTTGGGCTTGGACAGGAGGAAATGAGTTTCTGTGCTGACCATGAAGATATTACGTCCATTTGTTTAACAGTTGTATCGAAATTACTAAGGAATTATAAAGTATGAATTTTGTTCTGTATAAATATTTTACTAAAGAAATGAAATAAGTGATGAAGTATATCAATTTTGTCCTCAAAAGTGAATTGGGTCGATGAAATAACCCGTGATTGGACATATGTGAAGCTAGAAGGCTGTGTGCATATAGTTATTTTCTCATTATTAAATAGTTATGATTTTTATTGTCGTTAAAGAAGATAACTTCAAATATGTTTTGAAAATGTCTCTATAATGTATTTTTAGAAATAAACCTCTCAATGTACATTTGACAATGACATTTTGCAGTGCACTTTTAGTAGAGCACCATAATCTGCCAATCAATTACCACGACACTATTAATAAGTAATTAAATTCAAAAACTGTTTGTTGCAGCTTTCTGTCAATGATATTGGTTTCCTTTGTGTTGGAACGGAAACGCTAACGGACAAAAGCAAAAGTGTCAAAACTTCGTTAATGAAATTGTTTGAGGATAATTGTGATATCGAAGGAGTTGATGTGAAAAATGCATGTTACGGTGGTACCCAAGCCTTATTTCATGCCATTGATTGGATTCATGCTAACTGGGAGTTTGAAAGTGAATACTTTGTAAAGATCTCATTTCTATATATCATGGGTTGCCTATGACATAGTTCAAAATTTCATTCCAAATTACTTTGACTTAAAATTACCAGGTATTATTTACTTTAATTTTGCTTTAATTTTGATTTTTGTTTTATTTCAGGGCGCTATGCAATTGCTGTTATGGCAGATATAGCACTTTATGATGCTGGACCTGCACGATGTACTGGCGGTATGTGTTGTGAAATGTATTGATTATTATTGGATAGACTAAAATGACTAAAAGCAGAAATCTGAAAATTGGTTCAGATTTTAGGATTTCAGCTTGAAATATCCGGATTCGATTCCTAAATTAGGGGAAGCAATTTGTGGGCTGATGAACGATAATGGGGTTAAAAAAAAAATCTTATATTACCAATATCAGGAATCGGAATAGAGTTCTTAAACTTGACGATGAGGTATCATTCTTTGTCATTAAGTAACTGGCCTCAGCATAAACATTCATTTTTTATCTCACATGCTTGATTTTTTTAGTAAAGTTGGTTTTTGTTTTATTTACAGGAGTCGGAGCTTTCGCTGCCCTAGTTGGTCCAAATGCAGTATTATCGTTTGAAAGAGGGCTTCGTGCAACGTATATGGTTGATGTTTACGATTTTTACAAACCAAATCAACCTGTACCCTCAGAATATCCTATTGTAGAAGGCCAAGCCAGCTTACAGGCCTATCTCACTGCCGTAGACGAAGTTTATAAATTGTATTGTCGAAAGTCCGAAAAATTGGGGGATGAAGGTCTTAAATTTTTAGAATTTAAGTATGCGCTTTTTTAATAATATCAATGTTACTGCATCTAATTTATTCAGTACTTTAAATAAATTCTTCTGAGTCAAATTCAAGCTAAAAATCTAACTGATGGTATTTAATTGCAGCAGTGAATATTTCGAATTTTAATGCTGTATTTTTCCATTGTCCATTCACTCGTCTTGTTCAAAAGGCTCTTGGTGTGTTGGCATTTATTGATTACAAACGTGGATTAAGCGATCATTTGACAAATATCGAACGGACCAAACCTTCAGAGTTAGACTTTTATTTAAGAATTTTTAATGTGAACAGTAATATATTTTGAGATGTGAGCTTTGATATATTTCAATGTTTTTGAATCTTGAACGCTTTCTTCTTCGTAACAGCACATAAAATATTCGTTAAAGTAGCATTTCCCAATTTGATCGACTTAAGCAAACTACAATTTAAATCAAGTTTCCTTTACTATCTCATAGAAACCTTTTCTCAGAAAAGTTTTTATTGTTAATGTTACAGATTTTTACTTGAGCCACGAGAAGTAAATTATATGAGTCGTGATTTTGCTAAGATGGCAGTGCAAATAAGCGCAAAACTTTGGACTGAGAAAACCGAACCATTTCTGCTACTTAATCGTCGAATTGGAAATACGTATACAGCATCACTTTATTTGCAACTGGTTTCTTTTTTCCACTGGCAAGTTTTAAGATATTTCTTTTAGTCACTTCATCGGACACTACAGTATATCATGTTTTCTTTTTTTTTGACAAAATGAAGGAATTGTTACTGGTACTTACATATAACATGGAACTAATTTTAAATATGATCACACGCATTTGTGACAGTTACTACCTTTTCTTTGCGTATTTTCAAACATAATTTACTTCTTAGAAAAACTTCTTGCCTCTGTCAATCAATTTGCTTTCGCACCTTGCTCTGTGCAATAACCGTACATTATTTTTATTCTATAAGCATTTTGTCAAATCATATTAAGTTTTCTCAAATGATATGAAGCATCAAATTATATAAAACCTGACTCTAATGTCTTATCGCTATTCGCATCCGGTAACGGCTAGATTGGTAAAATAAAATGTGATATTTGTTCTGAAAACTTAAGTAAAGCATAAATAGGGCACTTGGTTTAATGATTAATCAGAAAGTTCAAATTAGTGCCATCCAAAGTGGTTAGTGGATTTCACATAACACTATGAGTCCTTTTTAGAATATATTACTATTTTGATGTATGGTTATATCATGTCGCACTTTCAAAAAAGAATGATGTTGTCGGTCAATATTTCTACTTCGCACTAATTAAATAAGTAACATCAAGTGTCACTTTCTTTTTTTTCAGTTTGCCGGATGAAAGAGCTTTAAGTGGTCAGCGACTTTTATTTTTCTCTTACGGTAGCGGAGCAGCTGCTGCAATGTTTTCTGCTCGAATATTGGTATTAGAAAAGGGTTAGTGATTTTATATCAGTCATTATTAGTAGTTTCTTTTCTTCGCGTTTAAAATTGTTCCCAAGTTTTTGTTTTCTTAAAAAATACAAGTAAAGCTTGGAAATCTTCCGTTTTATTCTCTTATGATCTTTTTTGGTATTATTCCTTTGCACTTTCTATGACTTAATAAAGAAGGTTGAGGTGTCAGTATACATTTTTTTTGTTTCTAAATTAATTGCTGACTGGAAGTTCACCTTTATGGTATCTTCAGCAAATGATGGGTAACGTACTTGGCATAGCTGCTGAGAAACATGGAACCAATGTAAATCATTCTAATCAAATCGTAGTTTCATGTTTTTCAGATGCTAAAGACCAGTGTATGCAAATGAAACGAAGTGCAGATGCTGCTGTAGCATTATTGGAGAAACGTTTATGTATAGACCCAAAACGTTATAGCGAAATCTTGGCTCTCAGAGAAAAACTTCTATCAAGTACAGGTATAATATTTTCTGTAGCATCTGTATGTCTGTTGAATTCCTGTGCATTGTTTTTTAGCTTGTATTTATTTATAATAACACAAAGTTTTTCCTAAATCTTGCGCATGTGAAAAGCTTTAATGACATACAGTGATTGAAATATATGCGATATTATTGAACTACTTTTATAATTGTTCATAAATATTTGTGCTTCATATAAGTTTTTTGTTTAGGGAGATTTTAGTTTATTTCAGCTCCGTACAGACCAGAAGGTGTGAGAAATAATTTGACGGATGAATTTAGTCTATTTCCTAATACATATTATTTGATGAATATCGGAGACAAGTACAGGCGATATTATGCACAAACATCAAGTTAGGATTTCTATAATTTATTTGGAATTAGCTGTAATAATTTATTTGGAATATTCATGCATTCCTGTATGTGTCATTTCCTTTTCAATCTGTTACTTTATTCATTTTTGATTAGAATTTTAGTTTAAATTTGTTTATTTTTTAAATATTCCGGCGATGCTTATTATAACCAGTGATTCTAGTGTTATTGTTTAGTTTTTCGAGTTTTATTTTGCAGACGAAATCTATTGCTGATTCGATAATTTATTTTTACAAGTTCATATGTAATAGTTTTCCGACATTGTCGGAAATTTTACGTCCCATGTTTAGTTAAAGCTCACGTCAAAATTATAATAGTTCAACACTTCAGCTTCAAGTTTAATTTAGTTGAAAGTCATGGAAGAGTACTTGTTAATGATATTCCACTGGATTATATGCTACTCCACTACTTTCAGGTCAGCATTTAGGATAAATGCAAAACATTAGTTAGTTTAAGCTTAAATTTAAATATAAATAAGTAATAAAATCTTTTCGGACTTTAAACTGTTTGGTTTACGATAGATGCTGCTTGGTAATATCTAATACTTCGAAGTGAAGAACATTATTATGTTCAGGCTTAATGTTTTAGTAGAGTACTTTTTCCCTCGCAATTTTGACTTATTGTGCTTAAGAAATGTTTTTAATATTTAAATAGGTTAAATAGGATGCAGACACGAAATAGTACTTCATAAACATTCCTGAAACGAAGAAAATATATTTCCAAGGCATTATATTACACTGCCAGGCTCTTTGATAAATGATTTCAAATCTCTTTTTTCCCACTCTTCAAGATTTTTGAAAATTATTAGAGTGGAACTATCCCGTTTCTTGCTGCAACTTCATACATTTCCTGATATAATTAAACTTACTGAAGTTACAAAATAAATGGACATTGCTCTTTAGAAAAGGCTAAACAATCTTTCGCAGAAATACCGGAAGCTCTGTTTTCATAAATTCTGTACTTGTAAGCGAAGCAAAGAATCAGTCCTTGCTGTAACCGGATGGTAAGGGAATATCGAAAATGATAGGGTCATACTCTATCCTTAGCTTGTGATCGCAAATGGATGCATTGATAAAGGTGGTATGGCCATTTGTTGTTACACCGTGCATTTGATGGATATGTCCAAAAACGTGGTATTTCGGTTTAACTCTTTTTTCCACTGTATTTAACAAGTCTGCGCACCCAGCTAGTACTCCATCACATTTATTCCAACTGTTGAAATCACCATGTCCTCAAATAATTTCTTTTTAAGGATACTGCGTATAAGAAATGTTAGACAAATATAGATAAGAATTATTTCATAATCATTGTAACCTTTAACAAAAATCAAATCAAATGAATTTCTGCCAAACAGAACAAAAAAAAAGGAAAGAATAGGAGGATTACTATCGCTTACTTTGATTATTAACAAGTTAAGTGACTGATAATTTTAAATCAAAATATTACCTAGAGGTGGTGTATGAGTAATAAGTACATCAACTTTAGAAGGAATAATTTTCCATTTTTGCATTATCGGATAACCCCGTGAGCGATAAAATGAATATCCTGGCATTGAATGCCACGGAGCACCGTAGATTAATAAACCATAAATCTAAAAGTAATTTAATAAATATTCTACTAAATAATCGATATTTGCATACATAACTTGTTATACCAGTAATTAGTTATTCAGTACAACAAACAATAAAAACGATAGATAAGAGAGAGCGGGCGAAACGGTAAGAAGGAAGAGGAAAAGAAATAAAAGAAATTGTCGCATTTAATGAATGATTGATTTGATTGTTTTCAAAAACGTATAAACGCATAAAAGACTGACGATAATGATAATGATACTGGACAGATTTTTTTTATTTAGGATAGATATATAAGAATGATAAACTCTTCAGATATACTTCCTGAATTTTTTTTTTGTTCTTTAATTATTTTCATCCTAATAATTAACAGGAAAAGTTTGGTGTGAAGATTGACAATGTATCCTTCAGAAGCGTATTGTCTCCAATGAAATGATGACCTTCATTTCATTATCAAATTGAATTCATACAAAAAAATAGTTGAAATTTCGACGAAAGAAAGAACAAAGTTCGTTTTCTTTTTGAAATAAAATACTTCCCCTTCCCGCACTGATTCCATTGCATCCTCTAAATTTGACTTTGACCCTTTGATTTTCTATTTTATTTACCATTGTATATCTTTTTTTCTAATAAGTATTACTTTATCAGTCTACAAGTTCATGGAAAGTTATTTATGTTGACGTTTATATCGTATAATTATTCATAAATCGTAGAAGTTATAAATGGTTGTTCGAAATTTAGCTCGAATTGTTAGCTAAATAAACAAACGACATTTAAATGTAATCAAAAAGTTGATTACCTCAATTTGCCGATCGCATAAATAAGAGCAATTTGTTAATAATTCGTACGGTTTGTTGATACCAAGCATATTTAAGCCAGCAAGTTGCTTTTCATTTAATTCTTCATCATCTTCAAAGCCAATTTCGTGATTTCCAGCCACGACCACCTTATGTTTGTGTGGTAGACTGCCTGAAATTAACGATGATTTATTGAGGGAAATTTTTGGAAATGACACAATGTTTGAAACGAAGTTATAGTTTCAGTGAAAGGGAGAGGATTATGAGATCTTACAGATTAGACGTAATTCGTTGTTGCGTTCTAATGCCATATTACACTGCTTATTGAATCCCCTGCTATAGGATCAGAAAATTCCAAATTGATTAAATTAAAATTCATGATAATTTGAAGCAAACTGCAAATATACCAATTTGGGCATTAAACTTGATCACCTCACCAATATCTCCATAATTTGTAAAATCACCGGCATGGATAAGTACATCACCATTGGGTATTACGGGTAATAATTCTTCCATTTTTTCATGAGTATCCGAGATGCACACAAATCTTACCTTATTATCAAAGATCGGTGTATCAAGCCTAAAAGCGACATGACATATTGATATAGTCATTTTCAACACTTATCCTTACTTCTAAATATAGCAGTGACCAATTTTGATCATAATTACATGAAATTAGTAATGAAAATATTTCGTTTAATCAAATCGTCATCAATAAATGAATGTTTATAAAAGATATCAATTTAGTGACAAATGCTTAAAGTAGTTAAATATGAAGTTTTTTTGAATTTACCGGAGCGGCTTAACTGGTTCAGAAATACGTCCTTGTTTCAAATATTTGCGCCACAGCTCGATCGGTTTATGTGACAGTGGATCAACTGGCACGATACTTCGTTCCGCCATCTTTCTTTATTCTCTAACTTCTTTTTTTAATTTCGACAAAAAAATGCAACTTTTTTTAAGCATGAAGATTGCTCATTAACAAATATAAAGTAGATGTCAGATATTAATTAAAATAGAATTTAAATAGTTCTTTTTGTTGTCAATAATTGGAGAATGGTTTTTTTAAATATAACCTAGAAAATCCACCATACTCAGTATCACCTCATAAGAATAACAAAATGATAGTAGCTGTGGGATATACAAAGAGGAATGACAAGATCAATTAATTCATTACTGAATCCATTTCAATTAATTGCTTCACTCATTAGACAATTTATCAGCTAACATTCTCATTTTTCTTATATGTCGAAAAAATTTCGCAGTATATTTTTCATGATCACAAATGAATGTATCAAACAAGAACAAATTGTTGAAGAAATGAAATAACAATCACAGATGTATGAAAATAGAAAAAATTCAATAAGCTTTTACTGCGAGATATTTTGAATATTTATTTAAGAAATTAATGTTAGTAAAATTATTGGAATATAACACTTTCACCTTTCACCTTTCACCTCTTTTTTATAATAATATAAATTTTTATAATAGTAAAAATTGAAAAGTTGAAAAATGTAAGATAAATTAATGAAAAGATCAAATTATGTCATTCATGTGATCGAAATACTGCAATTAATTTAGAGTATTTAGATATATCATATCGAGAAGAATTTGACACTCACAATTTTCAAAATTATAAATGTTCCTTTTGGCGAAAATAACATATATTCGATTAAAATTCATATTAAAATTCAGAAATATATAACAGGTGCTACTAATGTCTTAATTATTTTAATAAAATTATGTATGTAACTTTCAACAATAATTTTAAATTTACGAAAAAAATAAATTTAAAATCTGTAATTTAAGAATTCGCACCATCCAAACGCAATATATATATATATGTTTTATGGAATAAAATCTTATCAGTAAATCCATAAATTTTTTGGATACGATAGCATCATCAATTCGATGGCATCATCAATTCGATGGCATCATCAATTTAATACTTCACTAAAATTGACATGGAAATAACTGTTCGTCTATCTCTTTGACACTTAAGATGGCCACAAATATTTGCACACAACCAATTCAACACTTTTGTAATAAATTTATCAAATTTTAATAAATAAAATCAGTGATAATATATATATATATAAGGAAAAATAAGCAAACTGATTAAAATCAGAAAAATGAGTGGGAAAAGAATGAACAAAAATGCTAAATTTATATGAAAAGTTGCTTAGTGCTGACTAAAATAATTTCAAAAATAAGAAATTAGCGATTATCTTTTAACCTTATTGTGCCAGTTGAGGCAAATTTTCAGCGAAGAAAAATATTATTGATTATTCTATTAAATTCTAAAAGTACTTTTTGATTTCTTTTTCAATTACGAATCTCGCAATTGTGTATCTCTTAATATTAAGCAACGAAAATGTCAATAATTGCCGATATCGATAAATGAATTGACAAAGCTATCTTTCTTTGTACCTATAAATTTAACTATTTTGTTATTATTATTTATTGAGCGAGCTGTCTATGATCTTCAGTTTTGTAAGTTATCATGTGATTAATACTTAGAAAAACAGTAAAGAATTTTTCCTTAAATCATGCCAAAGGTTATTTTCTATGCCAAATTAAATTGTTATTTGAATTACCAATTGAAAATAATATTATGG